TAAGGAAGTGTTCAACCTCAGATTAATGTTTTTGCTTATGTGTGGTTATGGGTCTAATTAAGATGTGTAGTCCCATGCCTGCTGACATAATCTTATAATATAAGGAACTGTTCAGACAACCATGATAAATTCACTTGGTCTCTTGAACACCATTGCTCTTAAAAAATTGAAAAGAAAATATCAGCAGATTGATAAAAGGCTGATTTTCTTTTGTTTCTCTTATTTCAGTCACTAATGATGAGAATATGTGAACAAAATGCTATTCATCACATAGAAACTATATGAATAAAGACACTCGCTACAATTCTAATTAGATCACAAAGGTATCATGAACTGGTTAGGGCCTTCCTGTGCTCATAACTTCTGAAAAAGAGAGCTTCTGAACCCAGTTCACAAATGTACTGGATGCCAACCAAACGATTGGTTATGTTAACCAAATGAAGATATCTGGAATGAACCAGAAAACCTCTTTCAACACTGTGCATTGAAATTCTTTTTTCTCTAATTTTAATTTATGTGTTAGTTAATCAATTGCTGTGCACTTCCTTTGGGAAGACTATTTTTTCCATTCTGAGCAATGCTTAGTTGCTTATAGTATTTTGTGTAAAACTGAGGATTCATGGGCTTTTACTTGCCCTTCTGGGCATGACAGTTATTGCTGTGCTTATTCAGATCATGTTTAGAAAGCTATGTTGCTGAAAATACATGACTGTAACTTCTGACATTACAGGAGACAAAATTTCTGAGCAAAGTCACAGCCTCTGGCTCTTAAATCTTTCTGTTAACACTCCCAAACTTTTCTCTAAGAGTTATATATAGTCATTACTTTGTAGATATGTGTATTGTGCCTGAGATCCACCTCTATGATATTTAATTGGCTGTGGTTTTCTATAGAGCACTTCATCTACTGGAAATAGAAATTTATTTGATGAGTTGTGAAGACTACACTGACAAGTAAGTATAACCCAAATGTTTATTGATTACTAGTATTTGTAATTAGGATTCAGAAAATTAGTAATTGTAGGTACTCCTCTTATAACCATGACTGTGTTGGCGTTGAATAGATAGACAGGCTTCCAGTAGCAAGAGTGGTTTCACTCTTTTTAAGCAGATATTAAATCCAAGTAAAATGTAGCTATCTTGGGGATGTCTTTCTGTATGCTGTGAATATATATTTTTCTCATTGGTTAATAAATAAGCTTCTTTGGCCTATGTCAAGGCAGCTTCGAGGCAGGCAGGAAATCCAAG